TATGACAAAAGGATATGTTGAAACTGTTCAGTTACCTGACAAGGAATTTGTTAAGGAGCTTATTTGTATAAAATGAATTGAACTTCTGGACAGTAGTGGTAGTGATAAAGATCATATCACATGCAACAACTATGATTTTTATGAGTTATAAAAACCATTGTGCAGTGTATTATAAGATGAATTTATAGCAGGCATCCTCAAACTCCAGCCCTCCAGCTGTTTGGGCCTCCAATGCCCAGAAGCTCTAGCCAGCATGTTTAATGATCAGGAATTCTGGGAGTTGGATGCCCAAACAGCTGGAGGATTGGCATTTGAAGATGGCTGATTTATAGCAAGGTGTTCCAGCAGGTGCTTCTTAAATTCTGTAGAGAATACTACAGAAGTCTGAAACTATTCTTTCCTTCAGTTTGCCTTTTGTCCCCTGTTGTTTTGTACAGAGGAGAGGAAAAAAGCCAACATCCCGCAGACCAGTACAGTCCACGTTGTGCTTCTGGTGTTTACTTGGGTAAATTCAGATGCCTATCATTAGCTTGAGGTGTTTACTAAAAGCAGTAGGACTGGCAGGCTACTCCCAGCATAAACTGCCCCATGTCCACTGAACCCTGTGATTACAGCCATTGTTCCATAACAAGAGGGAAGAGCTGCCTGGCCCCACACAGCGCAGCTTGCGTCTTCGTTTTGTCAGTGATGTTTGTCACTTATTCTGGCTGCTTTTCAGATGCACCAAGAGCACGTTCCGAGTGTGCAATAAGAAAAGATGGTCAAATGACAAGCCTGTTTAGTTGTGCCTTCTTTCCTTGCTATCCAAGGAAATGAGGAAAGTTACAGTGATTGCAGCACCCCAAATACTGTGAGTTTTTTGCAACAAGATCTGGTTGGAATGTTGCTTGTTAGAATCTTCCTTTTTTCTGTATCAGTTTCCCTTGTGTTTCACATCTATTGATGAAGGTGATGGTTCAGTGGACAGCCTTCTGAAATTGCAAATCAATGCTCTGGTGATTCCAAGTATTACGGTTTTGGATTTCTGAGCTTTAAATTTAAATAGGAGTAAGCCTGAGGAAACCAGTACAGTAAGATACTTATTCATTGGAACACATTCCTGACTGGATGACAGATACAAGCAAAACCAGGAATATGAATGAACACCATTTAATTTTTTTGAGGTTTTTTTAGAGCTGAATTGGAGGACCAATGCATAGCTAGTTCCTATATTGCGCAGATGGATAGCCATGGAGACATATATTTAGTTTTAGGAATAATGGGTTAATTAAAACTGACTTGTACAGTGATAATGAAAGATCCATTATAATACTGTGAGTTCACTAGGACTACTTCAGGATTTGAAAAACCTCACTCCCCAAAGGACGGAAACAAAGCCAGTTTTCTCCAATCCATCTGAATGGATCCCATGTGAGCAGTCTCTACAAAATCTGGGGGGGGGGGGGGGGAATCCTGGCAATACCATGGACCATGGTATTGGTAAAGATGGAGACCAGAATCCTGTGTAAGAGTTGTGTCTCTCCATACAAGAATTAGAATTTATCTCTATCCAGGAGAAGGCTGCAGTTATGTTACTATATAGCAGAACCAGTTAAGTGCCTGGTGCACATTGTGTCCCGATACACATCACATGCGCTGGTGTTCATCAGGCACCAATGCACATCAGGCACTTTTGCTAGTGGCCTGATACACATCCCCAAAATTTACTAACAAGATTTTTAGCACCTTTGCTATTTATGTAGAACAGTCCCTGTATCCTTGGGGGATATGTTCCCTGACTTTCCATGGATACATGCACCTGCAGATTATAATGAGTATTGGACCTTGGGCCCAATAATAGCATAGAATCTTGCTGGAGGACTAAAAAGTGCCTAGAGAGCAATATTTTATCAGATGTTGATCTGACAAAATCTTATGGATACTGTGCTCATACTGTATAGGTAAAGTTGAATGTGTCTGCCTTTAAGTTGCCCATTGACATTCACTAATCCCATGAATTGCTTTGCTTTGGCAAAGCAGCTGGCCTGGATGATCTACGGATGGAACAAATCAAGAACTTTGGTCCCAAAGCAAGGCACTGGCTGCTGGACTGATGAACAACTGCACTGCATCCTGTCAGATCCCCAAAATCTGGAGGAAAGCAAGAGTCATCGCCATCTTGAAGCCAGGCAAAGACCGCAATGACCCAAAAAGCTACAGACCAATCTCCCCGTTGTGCCACCTCTACAAAGTTCTGGAGAGACTTATTTTGCATAGAATTATGGAAAAAATAGACCCATGTCTGATCCACAGCAAGCTGGCTTCAGGAAAGGCAAAAGCTGCACATCGCAAGTGCTGAACCTGACTCAGCACATAGAAGATGGCTTTGAAAGGCAGCAGATCAAAGGAGCTGTCTTCATAGACCTGTCAGCAGCCTATGATACTGTGAACCACCGCCTCCTCCTGAGAAAAATGTATAATATCACAAAGGACTACCACCTCACCCGCCTCATAGGAAACCTGCTACAAAACAGGAGCTTCTTTGTTGAGTTCCAGGGTCAGAGAAGCAGATGGCGGAAACAGAAGAACGGCCTGCCTCAAGGGAGCGTGCTTGCCCCATCCATGTTCAACATCTACACAAATGACCAGCCACTGCCAGAAGGGACAGAGAGTTTCATCTACGCTGATGATCGTGCCATTACTGCTCAAGCAGGGAGCTTTGAGATGGTTGAACAGAAGCTCTCCGAAGCTCTAGGTGCTCTTACTGCCTATTACAGGGAAAACCAGCTGATCCCCCACCCATCTAAAACACAGACATGTGCCTTTCATCTCAAGAACAGAGAAGCATCCCGAGCTCTGAAGATCACCTGGGAAGGAATCCCACTGGAGCATTGCAGCGCACCCAAATACCTGGGAGTCACTCTGGACCGTGCTCTTACCTACAAGAAGCACTGCCTGAACATCAAGCAAAAAGTGGGTGCTAGAAACAATATCATACGAAAGTTGACTGGCACAACCTGGGGATCACAACCAGATACAGTGAAGACATCTGCCCTTGCGCTGTGCTACTCTGCTGCTGAGTATGCATGCCCAGTGTGGAACACATCTCACCACACTAAAACAGAGACATGCCGCATTATCACGGGGTGTCTGCGCCCTACACCACTGGAGAAATATTACACTGCTTAGCCGGTATTGCACCACCTGACATCCGCCGGGAAGTAGCAGCCAATAGTGAAAGGACCAAGGCAGAGACATCTCCAGCTCATCCCCTGTTTGGGTATCAGCCAGCACGTCAACGACTTAAATCAAGAAATAGTTTTCTAAGATCTACAGAGACACTCTCTGGAACACCTCAGCAAGCGAGAGTCCAAAAGTGGCAGGCTCAAACCCAGAACCTCAACCAATGGCTGATACCAAATGAGAGACTCCCCCCTGGGCACACAGGACTGGGCGACTTGGAAGGCGCTGAACAGACTGCGCTCTGGCACCACAAGATGCAGAGCCAACCTTCAGAAATGGGGCTACAAAGTGGAATCCTCGACATGCGAGTGTGGAGAGGAGCAAACCCCTGACCACCTGCTGCAATGCAACCTGAGCCCTGCCACATGCACAATGGAGGACCTTCTTGCAGCAACACCAGAAGCACTCCAAGTGGCCAGCTACTGGTCAAAGGACATTTAATCAACTCACAAATTTCTACTTGTTTGCTTTGTTTCTGTTAGAAATGTAATATAATTTGACTGGTTGTTCTGACACGACAAATAAATAAAATCCCATGAATTTCATAGGGTTTTCTTCTGCAAGGTATACTCAGAGATGGGGCATGAAGAAATATGCTGCTCTGCTCTAGCACCTGTCACTTCCCTTCACTTTGCCTACTGGCCTCTTACCTTTCCTAGTGCCCTATTGTGCACTGATCTATCTCAGACATTAATCGCTGCTGGGGGGTGCTGGGAAACTCTAATTCTGCAATTGTAGAGGTCTTACACTAGGATTCCTCAAACTTTTTTAAGCCAAGGGATGGTTCACAGTCTCTCAGGCTGTTGGAAAGCAGAACTATAGTTTGAAAGAAGATGAATGAATTCATACACACACTGCTCATATCAAACCATGAAAGAACAATACGATATTTGAAATGAAGAACAGTTTTAACCAACATAAACATGAGTCTTTCAATGGAAAATGTGGGTCGGCTTTTGGCTGATGAGATAGTCATGTTAATTAGGATTGTTGTTGTTGTGTGCCTTCAAGTTGTTTCAAACTTAGGGTGATCCTAAGTCTAAAGTTTAGAACGGGGGGCGGGGGGGCGGCAGATAAAAGACCTTTGGAGAGGTACATCTGGTCCGCGGGCCTTAGTTTAGGGATCCCTGCCTTACACTTTAGAAGACTTTGCCCCAGATGGCTAGTTTTACATTTCTGTCTGATGAATTTCACAATTGATGTTAACTCAGTAATATGAGCTATAGGAAGTTGAAAACAAGGACTGGAAAAATGACATTAATTAAAGTTATCACCAATATCTTTCTCACGGCCCTTCTACACAGGTCTAATGTCTGTGTTTTTTCTGGATTAATCTAATGATTTCTACTCTGGGTTAAAAAAAATATCTTGAAAGGTCCGGACCTTACAGAAAGATCCTGACCTTCCCAGATATAGAGCCTGGGAAGGTGTGGAGGGCCCTTCCAGACAAGCCTAAAACCCGAGAGAAACTGCCACTTTCTCTCAAGATTTTGGCCTGTGTAGAAGAGCCTTAAGACTTATTTAGCAGATTGACTAGACATTACATGAGGAATCATAAATGAAATTGTGGACTGTAGATCATTTCTGTGCTATCAAAATGAATGGACTTGGGAATGTTATTCCTTATCCTGCAGTATTCAGTGCTTCAATGCTTATAATGCACTGTTTTGATCTTCAGATAGCATCTGTACTCTAAAATCTTATATGGGGGGGATAGGGAGTTAAATGACTGTGCATTCCATAATGTTTACTTTTTTCCCTCTCTCTTCTAATTATAGGATGTTACAGAACAATCAGCTCAACCGGATTCCAGCAGAAGCTTTGTGGGATCTTCCAAACCTCCAGTCACTGTAAGTTCTTCTCATTGCAAGCTGTGGAATCCCTTAAGCAAGTGATTTCCAGCAGCTGGGTAGAAACCCAACAATATATTCCTAAGAATGTGAAGTGCAATGTCTGATCACTCTTTGGCATGAAATTTTTGAAACTAAAGGTTGATTTTTTACACAATGAAAGATTTTTGCAAAGACTTCTTGAAGACAGACTTATCTCGAAGCATCTCAGTATTGACTGCCTGTCTACACCATAATCTCTCTCTCCATAGTACCGAGTGTACATCTTCTACAGTGTAGAGGCAGTCATAAGGCGATACCAGATAGAGTTTCTAGGTAAGCATAGCCCTGTCCAAGGAACATGCTATGTATGTGGGTTCCAGGTGTCATTTACTCATGCTCCTCGTGCATTCCCTCTTCCTCACACACATGTCCTTTTTTTTCTCTTTTTGTCTTTTCATAGTAAATCTGTCAGTGCAGAAACAATGGAATAGTTTAAAATTACATTTAATTAGCAGCATTATGAACTCTCAATTAGCAATCTAGCACTCATATTTTGGACTAACCTTAGTTTACAAAGGTTCATCAAAGGCAGGTCTGCATACAGTGTATTGCAGTCATCCAAACTGGACATTACTCAAAGCATGGATAATTATGGTGTGCTACTTTAGTAAATAAGATATTGCAATCCCAATAATGTAACTGTTGCTATAGTGGTGTAGGAGTCCTTTAGATCCGCTTCATTCTGTCTTCAACCTTGGACATAGAACAGAAACAGTCTTTAGTGGATCTTCTTCATCAGAGATATGAAGGGAGTGGTACCCTATATATTTTCTTTAATTTCTTGGTGACATTTAATACTGTTGGCCTCCTGAGTAGCTCATTGAGCTGGGTATAAGGAAGCTCTGGTTTCACTCCTATCATTAGTGTCATTATTAAAAAGTTGCATTAGAAGACTTCTGACACTTTCATTGGGTTTTCTATTATGTTTTATATCCATAAGAAGTCACTGGAAAAATTACAGAAATGAGAGATACTGTGCTTCAACCAGCAGATGATACCTAGCCCCACCTCTATTTTCTGTCTGAATAAGAAGTTTTTGAATTTTGGACCAATGTGTAGAATCAGCGGTGGACTGGATCAGGGGCCAATCAGTGTAGTACAGACAAGATATGCATTCAGTGAATAGCCGGTTCCCAAGTTCAGGAATTAGGAAAATAATAATAATAATAATAATAATAATAATAATAAAACAACTTTATTTATATCCCACCCCATCTCCCCAAGGGGACTCTGGGTGGCTTATAGAAAACAACAGTGCAAACAAACACATAAGGTATACAATAGAAATTAGGTTAAATCAATAAAAATAAAAATAAATAGGATCTTTTTCAGTGTTGTACTATTCCCTATGACAGAGCAGGTATGTAGTTTGGGAGTATTCTTTAATTTGAAGCTTTCACAGAAAGACCTGGTTGCCTCTGTGGTTTAATCTTTTCTTGACCATAGAAACCTACTGGTTGAATCTGAGCAATCACATGCTTAGCCTAAACAGAAAACTTCAGAATAATTTTGCTCAGAAATAATTTGGAATAATTTCCCCCTATGACAGCATTAGAATCAGAATCTGCTTAAAGGCAGATGACTACTACTACTACTACTACTACTACTACTACTACAGTCTATGATAGATAAACATGATCTTGAGGGATTGTAAAGAAAATTTTCATAATGTTAGATGGCTTGTCTGGTTTCATGTCAAGTCACTTTGTGGTTCCATTAATGATCTAATGTCTCTGTGAATCCTCTTTCAACTAGCTCTCCTTGTAATTTCCTTTCCCCATATCTGTATGGATAAAACCACCCAACCCAGAAATAGCTCTGTATTTTAGCTCTGGGACCTTTGCTGCCCCTGAGGGTGGATAGGTCATGAAGAAACTCAGCAAATTAGTTTTGAGGCACTTTGATCTAATAGGGGACAAGGGCTTGGTGCAGGAAATGGTTTCTCAAAGCAAATGGTGTTGCATATTTACAGATGAAATCTCATTCTGTTTCTTACATGACCTCTTTCAAGCCAAGTAAATATGCTTTTCAATATGAAGGAAGTGATTTTGAGTGTTCTTCTCCAGTCATGTGGCTTGGATAGCATCCAAGCACATGACACATCTGAGTTCCTCATTAAATTATTACCTGTAATCTGATAGCTGAAATGGAATGATTAACACTGGTAGGATGAGGAGATCTTTAATTTATATAACTGGAGTTAAAGTCAGAAAACCTGAGTCTTCAGATGTTTCAGTGTCTAAGGCCTCTTCTATATGGCATACAATCCATATTATCACATCAAATAATCCAGATTATCTTTGAACTAGATTACACTGCCATATCATCCATTTCAATGTGGATAATCTAGATTTTATATGGTAGTGTAGAAGGGGCCTTAGGGCCCATCCAGACAAGCCCAAAATACACTTTCTGGGTTTTTAGCATGGACATCCAAGCTACGTTCCTGTAAAAATGAATTAATCTGGAGTAACCTCGGTTATTCCAAATTAATCAAATACCCCTTAGATCCGGTCCTTCCTGAAAGGCCCAGGTCTAATGAGGTATTGGGCCTGTCGGGACTCACTTCCGGGTGAGTCCCCATTTGCCATCCAGAACCTTTCGGGCTCCTGGAGCCCAAAGGCCAGGATGGCACCCACCCCTTTCCCCCAGACCCCAATTTTTCTCTAAACATTAAATAAAACTTACCCAGCTGTCATTATAGTCCTAATTGCACAAGGAAATGATGCACCAGGAGATCAGGAAGGTTTTATTTAAAAAACCCACTTTGGTGCTCATTTCTGGCCTGACTGGAAGCACCCTTAGACATACTGACTGAAACTAGTATGAGGTGTAGGTTCAAACATTTAGAAAGCCAAAGGTTCTTTGCCTTTAATTAAATGAATTGACATGAACAATGCTACTCTCTACCAGGAAAAGAGAAACAGTAATCTGTAAGAATACAATTGAGTATTTCTCAGTTTTTTGTGTAAGAGTATATTTGCAGTAGCAGTCACACTGGAGTGTGATTCTCTATCCTTTGTTTTGATTTTGTCTAGTAGCATGGTAGCCATCTATGTCAGCCAGCTGCACACCACAATGGTATTCAGTATCGCTGCTATGCATTTGTAAATTACAGATTTAAGCCATGGTATTCCCTGTAGTACCCTACGGATGTGAGAGCTGGACCTTAGGGAAGGCTGAGCGAAGGAAGATAGATGCTTTTGAGCTGTGGTGTTGGAGGAAAGTTCTGAGAGTGCCATGGACTGCGAGAAGATCCAACCAGTCCATCCTCCAGGAAATGAAGCCCGACTGCTCATTGGAGGGAAGGATACTAGAGACAAAGTTGAAGTACTTTGGCCACATCATGAGGAGACAGCAAAGCCTAGAGAAGACAATTATGCTGGGGAAAGTGGAAGGTAAAAGGCAGAGGGGCCGACCAAGGGCAAGATGGATGGATGGCATCCTTGAAGTGACTGGACTGACCTTGAAGGAGCTGGGGGTGGTGACGGCGACAGGGAGCTCTGGCATGGGCTGGTCCATGAGGTCACGAAGAGTCGGAGACGACTGAATGAATGAACAACAACAACAATCTTACTGGAAACCTACATAAACCTACCCAAGTTTCCCTTAAGATTGAGCCATTGGATCAGGCAGAGGAGGTCCATTCAGCTTTCAACTGAGGTGCAAAGATGAAAATATTTCCAACCCATTTCCACCAGCAACCAAGCCACTGACCATCAGAAGCAGGGCCCTTCCGGCAGCTTTGCTTCCTGGTGAGAGGAAGATGGAAACATTGTCCTCATGCACCCCAATCACAAGCAGAACAGACTTCCACTTCCTGATCTGGCATCTGGCTTTTATGGTGGACTGGGATGGTGACAGGTTAGATGTTAGTTAAATAGTTGCTCCAGGATCTGGCGCCAGTCTGCAACTGATTTACAACTTAAGGCAAAGTGCCAATCCTAAAATGACTGAGTTGAGTAAAGCCTAACAAAACAAGGAAACATTCCTGATAAGAGTAAGAACGTCTTCTTTTGGAAAGTGTGCCCACGTGTGTGTCTGTAAAGTACCAAATTTTAATATCATATGTTTACATCATATGAGTGAAGCAATAGAGTCATTGCTTCACATTCATTGGGGTTAGGGGTGCGGGACTACAAATGAACACATTTTTTACCTTCTTTAGACCCGCTTAGCCCTCCAGCACAAGTCTATGGTTAAACTCCAATGAAATAGCATTGGAAGACCTACAAATATCTAAAGAAGTGTTCTCTCTAGGAAGCTCAAAATTGCCAAACAATAGTCTTGTAATCCATGCATGTTTTTTATTATGAGACATTGAATTTTTAATTGTGCAGCACAATTATGTGGTCAATCTCTGGTAGTCGTTGACTATAGAATCATGCAAGAAGACCCAAAAATACTAGATAGAACATACGTATAAACTTAGTTAAGAGAACAATTCCATGAGTCTGCAAGGCCTGTTGTTAAAAGGTGATTTCATAGAATCATAAAATCATAGAATCATAGTGATGGAAGAGACCTAATGGGCCATCCAGCCCAACCCCCTGCCAAGAAGCAGAAAAATCACATTCAAAGCACCCCCACCAGATGGCCATCCAGCCTCTGTCCAAAGAAGGAGCCTCCACCACACTCCTGGGCAGAGAATTCCATTGCTGAACAGCTCTCACAGACAGGAAGTTCTTCCTAATGTCCAGGTGAAATCTCCTTTTTGATGGTCTATCATTCTTAGGCTTGCCTTAAGAAGTCAAAGTAGAGTTGACAGCAATTGACCACATCAATCAACTGGAATCAGTTTAATATAAACCAGCCCACAGATGCATTTTACATGACAAACCTTCACCAACCATCTCCCCTTCCTATGCTGCATCCTCCTCCCAGATAAAAGAGACTCTCCAACTCCTCTGTTCTCCTCTCGACACTGAATTTTCCTCCTAAATCCAGTTTTAATTGAG